CTACAGTTGTACGGGAGGGCGAAAGTGCTGATTTTAACAGTGTCCGGTTGAGAAACAATGCCTGTGTAAGCCAAATACTTATTTATTTGCCCCTTTGGATCCAAAGTTGAATGTGCGGTACGTTCTAATGAAGATTGATCGACATTACTTTTTTGTTCTATTATAACCTTTTTTTTTATCGATCTGGTCATCAAAATGTTCGGTATGCTCGTTGTATTTGCTCAGTTCCCTTTTCGCCGACATTACAGCCATCATTTTGATGTTATGAATTTGTGCTGGATGTCATTTGTTCCCAAAATGCTAGCATAGCAGCTAAGAAGAATATGTTAGAAACTCCAATCCTCATAGTGCATTCGAATTTCATCTATACACAGTTAGGGTGTCTCGGAGAACAGCGGAGCATCTTTGCCATTCCTCCGATTTTCACGACATTCTTCTGGTAGTGTGGGAGGGATGAGCGTAAATTTCTCCATACTTAGTCCCATGAGTTTTCGCTAGCAGTGAATAGCAGCTTCCCGCAAGAAAGGGCTAGGATCGGCGCTATTCCCGCTTTCTTCATTTTAGAATGGTGCTATGGTGTGATGTGGGATTCTGTAATCGTGAACACTGGCGTGCCTCCCTCCCATTGAGGCCCAGGACATTGTGAAGGTATAGGCTGTAATAAAAACGGATCATTGAAAACGAGCTTGGAAGCAAACCATCGAAATGAGTGATGTTTGATTCGCCATTCAGAAAAATAGTGACTGAAATCATTAATCTGTATTGATTAATCTATGTAATTTCCCTTTACTTTCCTATTAAGGGGTATTTTGTATTTTTTACACTTTTCACCACTCAAGCCTTTTTTGTGCTCCTTTTTCTACAGATTCGTTTCTTCACAAGCCAATTTACGTGGTATACCCACCAGGGTCAACCCTACGTTGCTACAAGTACCAACGGGGGGGGGGGGTCGTAGTTTGTTGAAGTTTTGTGGTGGGGGGGGGTCGTACTTGTTTCGGTAGCGCGAAATTACATGTGATGAGGTGAGAGCGCGCGGGAGAAAATTTGCCGTTTCAGCGTGCGTATATACTACCTGTCGTGAAGGAGGGGGGTCGTAAAAATTTTGCAAAAGTACCAACGATAGGACCGACCCTGATACCAACTACCCCGTTTTCACGCTGAAGTCAGCATTCCCTAATCACGGACCTTCTGACGCTCATTGAAAACACCATATAAAGGATGTTGGTAGCGGATGTCTTTGCCCTTGCCGTTCGCTAACATCCTACGTCCTTTTCACGTTGACATTATATCTTTGGATGACGTGTTTTCAATGGACAGCCTATTGCTGACCACGATCACAGTCTCTTTCAAATTTCTGACTTCTTACTTTCTATTTAGTTTCGAAAGTGGACATTCAGGCTTTCCCACAATGAGCTTTTCCCTTAGTTTCGAATTTAATTCCACCCCATTGACTGCTTTTGCAAACTTCCAGCCTTTATCGTCTATTTTTCTACTGGTAGCAGTTTTTGATGTAAAACATAGGCCGTTGACATTTGTCCTTGGGGTGAGGTAATGGTGATGGAGGGTCATCGGCGGATTCGGGTGGACTATGAGCAAAAATATTTCAGCCTTTCGTGTCTTCGTCCTTGCCTGAGAAGCCGTGAAATCCGTTTATTGAATCTGCATTTCTGAGAATTTATCTGTCCGCTGGGCATATTTGCTGAATGCTAGGAGGTGCTTCCGCAGCAGAGATTCTCGTTATCTTGCCGTAACATTCCAGGGAAGCGCTGCATGACTAAAATTTCCAGGTTTTTGATGTTGAGTCGGTCTATGAATGAAGTAAACTGCGCTCTAGTGTGGCTCACTTTTGGGGTTTTAGGGCAGGTATACCATTTGCATCAGTATGGATTTGCAGAGCATAAGGCTATAGTGTCAAGTGGCACCGCTTTTCACGCACGAGGTGTGGAGGGCAGATCTAGCGCCATATGCCGTTCAGACCAGCCAAGCCATCCATCCCACTGGGGTCGATGAATTGATACCTTACTTGTCTGAGAGGATAAACGCTGATTCGTAAATTAGGTGGCCCCGCAAGTTGCTGTATAAATAGATCAAACCTTATTCAGAATGACACTATGATTTGCATGGAGGTAGAATGCGTGGCGCATCTCAAAAAGGGATTCATCAACGCTGGATGCCTTCATTTAGCTAAGTGGGTTTGCATTTGGCCTCTTGCAAAAGGTCAAGTGGCTACCTGAAATCCCTGAAAAGTAATTCCTGGTGGTCTGTGCAGTTCAATTTCAGCTTGCTCCTTTAGTGTGGCCAGCTTCTTGGAAGAGCTTGGCTATTTCGGGGACAAATTCCTCGTCCAGTTTGATTAAGCCGTCGCTATGCTTTGTGCGTGATTCTGAATTCGCTCACGAGCCTCATCGGACAATTTCAGCTGTCCGAAGAGTAAAGCATCGATTGGCCAGACATCTGCGGCTGGTTACGAGGCCCCGGGGTGCTTGTTCGGCTGCGGCGACGTCGGTATCGACATCAGTCCACTGAAATGTCACCGACTCTCAAAAAAGCGCATCGTAGAGTCATTGAGGGCGTGTTCATGAATGAATTAACATTTTACTCGTTTTCAAAATGCGACGAATTTTCATCTCGATTTTTCGATTAACTTTTTGCACATATTTTCCTTTTATTCGTTGTAATTCTGGAAATAATATATTTTAGTACCAAGCAGTGCTTCATAAGACAAATAGTAAGAAAGAACTGAAGAATTGGCGATGCTAGTTGATTAAAACGGGGGTAGGGGGAGGGCTCGGTAGTCGTTGAAAAAGGACAACTCAGTTGTTATGACATTATTAGTATGTACTGTGGAACGAGCTCTTTCTCATGCATTCTGAACAACAGTTTTGTTGATTGGGCCTGTACTTCGGGGGCGAACTTGGTTTCCCATAGGCTGTAGATTGGTGATTGGTAGATGGTAAACTTAAAGGCAGCGATCACTATGGTTAGAGGGTGGTGTTGGTGTGTTTTTGATGGCGTCATTGAACATCATTGGTAGAAGGGCCTTGAAAGGTAGCTCCAAGCCTACCCCCAGTGTAGAACAGGGCCTTAAAAGGCCCGGTGCCCATTCGCCTTAACTATCGCACACAGCCCTTTTCTAGGGGCTCGCAGTCAGCTGAAGGTCGTTTCGCGGTAAGTATGGTGAACGTCGAGTTTCCTCATCGCAGAAGCGGTGTTCAATGTGTACAATTGCACGATAATGTAAACTCCACAAATAATATAAGCCGGCGCTACCCTCAGCCATACACTTCCGCTTGAATTTCGAGCCCTCGTTAAAAATAAGTCTAATTATCTGTGTATGGAAAATTTCTTCATGACAGCCGTCAGGTAATCTTTACTCATCCTCTGAAGCATCTTCGTACAAAATTCGTGTCCATTCAGTCGTATGTATGACCCAAAATTTTGTAGGAGGCCGTGGCGCAAGCTAGTGAGACTGGGCAGGGTCCAATGAGGTCTTATTGTTGATGTTTTCTGTAGATGATCTTGTACATCGTTTTATGAGAGGTACTTAAACAGAAGGCAATTCAACTTACCCATGAAACTTCGAACATTGCGACCAGATATACAGACGGAGCTTTTCAAACGTGATTTCAAAGTTATGAGGTGAAACTGCCCAATGGAATCTGCCCAAAGAAGTATAAGCGGTCAAAGTTGGCTAATCGTTAAAGTCAATCATGAACGTTGCTATCTGTGTCGTCTGGGAGAATTCCAATTTCGGGCACTCTCCCTTCCCAAGAAACATGAGCCCTTTTGCCTGACTCGGCCAGGAAGAAGGTTAGCGCTTTTCAGGAGGTTTACAATCGTGGCAGACGTTTTTGTCATGAGAGTACCCACCTTAGGATCTCTGCCGACTTTCTCGAGTAACGAAATCACTGAACGAATGTGTCCTTCATTAATCATGTTCAGCGCTTCTGGTGACTCCGTTAAAACACAATAGAGCACGTCGAGAATTCCTGAAGATATGTAAATAAATAAACAAATAAATAGATAAATAAATGAGTAAATAAATAAAGAATTAAATAAATAAATAAATGGGTCAATGCAATTGATAGTAACCTTCGGCAGATTGTGGGTTACTGAGACGTCCAAAAAGCCAGTCGAGACGTTGTGCAGCAGCGAACTGGGCGCAGTTGTAGTGGTTTCCTTTGATCATTGCTGCTACCAAGAGGTAGAGGTATGTGGCGATCTCTTCCCACATCATCTGGAAACGTAAAACACCAGATGTTACTTAAAGCAACAGTCCCAGCAGGGTGGGCGTGGTCGGAAACGGCTGCAATCCCCTCGGCCGATTCCCACTTCGGAGCTGTTCAGCCCCTAGTCAAGAACGTAAGAAGTGTGACTGAACAAAAACTCACCTTGGAAAGCCGCTAGGGAGGGAGCTGAAGTGGGCGTGGTCGGAATCGGCCGAGGGGATTGCAGTTTCCGACCACGCCCACCCTGCTGGGACTGTTGCTTTCAGGCAGATGGTGAGATAAATTTTTCGCTCGCTGGGAATGAAGGTAGAGTGGCTAACGGGTTAAAAGGGTCAAGAAAATACTTTGGGAAACGGCCAAAACCCGTGGAGTGGACCCTTTTTCCCTGTTGGTTTCCGCATCGTGGCCATTCTCGTCGCTAGCGTCATCAACGTGAGCACTCTGCTCTGCCTCTACTAACACTGCTGAAGTGCGGCGGCGAGGGTTAGCCAAGTGTTGGGCATGGACAGCCGCGGAAAGAATTGACCTCCGCGTGTAAGGCTCTAGACCACTGAAGGCGTACCCTTTGCGCTCGCTTTCATTGGAAGACCTGCCTCCTTCATAGTAGATATATATTTCCCCGGCACTATTTCCCCTTA